TGTTTCTCAGGGATGTTTTGAAGTCTTAAAATATGATTAGCTTGTTGAATTTCTATCTCATATCAAGTCTACCTCGTCTTGTCTGCATCTTTCACTTTCTTCCAGGGTCTTCTTGACTTCATCTACTTTTTGCTCTAGTCTTTGAGATGTTTTGGTTGCCTTGTGTTGGTTGTTTTTTTTTATCGTCTACCTCTCTTTTCATCTGGGCTAGCTGCATAGAAATCTCTCATGTTTGTTGTGTCAGTGCTTTAATGCTTGCTTTCATTTCTGTGTCTAAATATTATGCTGATGAAAGAAAGAGTTCTGCGGGGTCATCTTTTTTTTGAGCATTTCCTGCATGGTGTTTTGCATTGTAATTTGCCAATTTTGAGAATCTTCTGATGTCAATTTTGCCAAATTGGAATCTGGGGCAGGGGATGAGCGTCCACGTCCTCCTCTGCCCTTAGTAGTCATCTTAAGGGAGCTAGTAAGATTAAATTGTAACAAATAATATTTTTCTAACCTAGCTGGGTGTGACTAATGTCCCATCAAACAATTTAACTCAAATGCATATATGATAGACATAGCCTGTCTGTCTGTCTGTCTGTCTGTCTGTCTGTCTGTCTATCTATCTATCTATCTATCTATCTATCTATCTATCTATCTATCTATCTATCTATCTATCTATCTATCTATCTATCTATCTATCTATCTATCTATCTATCTATCTACAGTGGTGCCTCGCATAGCGAGGTTAATCCGTTCCAGATTAACCTTCGCTATGGTGAAACATCGCTGAGCAGGACGGGAAAGCCCATTGGGCAAAAACTCACCGTTCAGTGATGCATCCCAGTCCGGCAGCCATTTTCGCGCCCTCCAGGCACACTGGCACTTGCAGGCCTCTTCCTGTTTGATGATGATGACGGGCACACTCAGTCCAATCTGCTGCATGGAGCTCCCTGGAGACAGACAGACAGGCAGGCACACACACACGCACACACACCCACACGCACACACACACACACACACAGAGAGAAACCATCCAATTCCTAAGCAACATTCAGTTCATAGTTCATCATTGATGCAAATTCTGTCTTGTAGAGTCTCCCTTTGATATAAGGTCCACTTGTTTGTAGCTTCTTCAGAGTCCATTCAGTGTTATTTATAATCCAGTAAAATTTGTAATCCAAACAGCTCTGTCAGCTTTTTCTAGTCCCTCTCTCATCAGTAGCAGAACAGCTTTCCATTTGATCACAGTTCAACCAAATAACCATAAGGTAGCATCGTTGTTACCAGGCAGGTCTTGTCAGAGATCAGACTACAAAAAAGTTATTTTCGGGGTCATTCAATACTTCCAGAACAGCAGACAAAACAACAGGAGCGACTTTTTCTCAACACTTCCCCCTCTAGAGCCAAACTGCAAATCAATGTAAGGGAGGAGGGACAAAGAGAGCAAAAGAAAGAAAGAAAGACCTATCCAGACTCTAGGACTTTTAAAAGCAGGAAGGAAAAAACCAAAAAGAAAAAGAGGTCCGAGGATCCAAAACGAAGATAGGTAGGGATGTAGTATCTAAATCAGGGGCCTTAAACATGCAGCCCGGGGGCCATTTGCGGCCCGCCATATGATAGATAGTCTGTGGCCCCTGCCTTGCCTGTCTCCCCCCGAAGCACCCACGTGTCCTCTGCTGTCCAGAGTAAAAAAAAGCCTCGCCTCGCTCTCCAGCTCTCTCCCAAGACAGCACCTCTTGCACCCTCCATCCGGAACTGCAGCCTGCCAGCCAGCCCACTTGTCTGCTGGCTGCAGTTCTGGATGGAGAGTGCAAGAGGCGCTGTCTTGGGAGAGAGCTGGCAAGTAAGGCACGCTGCCGGCCCTTTTCCCCGAGCGCCCGAGCAGCCGCTGAGTGATGCCTGAGAGCGGAGCTCGCGCCTGTCCTGTCCTCGAAGAGCGCCTCCAACAGCGCCTCCAACAGCAGCTGCCGCTGCTTCTTCCAGGGAAGTGGCTCTCTGGCTCTCTTTCTCTCTCGGAACCCCCAGCACCAGCCTGGCCAGCGGCCACCTCAGCACCTGGTGGTGCTTCCTCCTCCTCCTCTTCATCCTGCTTCAGCCGCCTCATCTCTGGAGGCTGCCTAGACTTGCCTCGCAAAGTTTGCTCCTCCATCGTGGTGGGGGTAGCTGCTGCTGAGTGAGCCTTTTTTTGAGGGGGGCCTTCAGAGGAAGGTTGCTGGACCTCTGTGTGTGCGTGCGTGCGTGTGCATACACACACCTGTGGGGGGACCGCCCCGTTCTGTTTAATTTCGCAGGTACTGATGGGGGCTTTTCTCCTTTGGCAAGGTGATTCTGTGAGGTTTTAAAAATATATATATGTCGTGCCCTCCCCCCGCTAGGCAGTCGCCGGCACCCCCTCCCTTCTCCACTTATTCGTCCTGCTGGTGGTGGTGGTGGTGGTAATGAAGAAGGAGCCGGAGGGGGTCGTGGACGGCAACGAGGGCTTGCGTGCCCCTCCTTCTCTTCCTCCTCCTCAGAGCCCCAGCCAGGCTAAGGAAACTCCTGGGCGGTTTCCTCGGGCTCTTGCTCCGCTTGGCAGAAAATCTGATGCGGCCCAGCCTCACCCAGACTCTGCCTCCAGCAGCCCCCAGGTAAATTGAGTTTGAGACCCCTGATCTAAATAATCTTTATTTTCCTCTTGTTCAATATTGTCCTGTGAAATTGTCTATGTATGCAGTAGATTCCAGAATAATTCAACATTGGGACAAACTTTAGTACAGTACTTTAAAAATAAGACTGGTGTGCTTTATCGTGTGTGTGTGTATATTTAGCTTGTATGCATGTTTGTGTGATGTGTTAGAAATGCGTCAGAACAGATAATAAGTCCTCTGAAAATACTGAAGAACTAAAGATATGAGCAGAGAACTAAAAATTGCTCCATTAAGTGCTTCCCAAATTAACAGGGTGGTTGTACCTCTTTCTAAGTAACGTTCCTCCTAAAGTCTTCAATCTAATATATACATGCCAGCTGTAGGTGTAGGTGACGCAGAGCATGATTAGCTAGTTGAGATTTTTACTGATACTGTGTTTAGTTAATAAGAGGTTTAGAAATAGTTTCATGCTTTCTGGTATGAGAATATTTGGCTTGAAAATTTTGGAAAGGAGGATAAAAAGAAATCTGGAACCCTCCAAAAGATTCGGGGGTGGGGTGGGGTCTTTACAGCACAAGCTTCTTCCAGCAACTGCTGGCTGGTAATTGCCCATGCCATGGAGTGAAACAGTGTTGCTCCACTCTTAAAGCTCCCCCAGGTAAAAAGCTTTAGGGGGAAAAAGCTTTAGGGGGAAAATGGCACCTAACATTCATAAAATTATGAACAGTACCATGAAAAGTGGCAGAGAGACATTTTCTCTCTCTTTGTGAACACTAGAATCCAGTGAAATAGACAAATAAATTCAAAGCAGAAGGAGTGCTGCTTTGCATAGCACAGCAATATGAAATTATATGTCAGAGGTATGCTTGCCATTTATATATTTTTTAGTTTAATGTTTTTTGCATGTTTATTTAGAAAAGAACTTCTGTTTTCAGTGAGGCTTTTTCATGTGAAAGTGCAGAGCTTGGAAATGTTTCATTTTGGATTACAATTCCTAGAATCCTTCTGCCATCATAGTAACTGGGGAACTAACTTTTCAGAGTTTGAGGGACGTTCATGTAGAATAGCAGCATGAAGCCATTTTGAACATAGCATTAAATAGATGTATGTGGGATAGGTCTACAGAGAACAGCCATGACTCATGGTAGTTGAATGTTACCTCTGAGTTCTAGGGCAGTAAACTTAGGAATGACAGTGGCTTTGAGGCAATGGAGGAGGGATGTTGCTTTCCTTTCCCTTGCAACATGTTTGTGATTTTTTTTGGAATTGTGTAATTGTTTTCACATATCTGTTCTACTTTTCACATACCTGTTCTCCAATAGTCTGATTTGGGAAATGACTCTGTAGGTAGGGTAGGGATAATCTACTGTTGGCAGTTACTCCCTCTACAAAGGAGTGTGAAAGATTGTAGAAAACTGTCAGCCTTACTAGTACTCATTACAGCATTATACAACAGTTGTTCAAGATTTGGGAGGGGGGAGTAGCTTCTTCTGTCTTTGAGGAATATATGTGATTTCCATAAGAGAAATAGTTGAGATAAATTTTAATTTTGGACTGCGTTCAGTAACATATTTTGTTTGAATTCATGTTTACAGGAGGTTCTGGGGTTTTTTATGCAACTCTTGATTTGTTACTTCCAAAGACTGGGATTTGGATTCAAGATGTCCAAAAGTAGATGAGAGAAGTTCCTCCTTTTTCAGTTCAATAAATTAGTCAAAATGTTCTAATCATCTTAACATTTTAATTTGTTTTTAATTTTACCTACATTTCATATACATTCCTAATTTTAAATTGTTCATTGCTCTGATATGAATAAAGAAAGGAAGGAAGAGTTCAGTAAAGTAACTAATGTATTTGTATTTTTAAGTTGGGAACTTTTTGTCTTGTTTACATTTTGAGTTGGTCCTTTACTGTATAAAGCTCACTTAAGTCAGTGGCAAAGTGTTCTTCGATAGGGATGAATCTCACACTACTAAAATCACAATATCTGTGAATATGTATTAAAAGACTTCAAAAATACTATTTATTTACTTCCTGATTCTGTAAATAATCTTTGAAAAAAATCAGTCTGTACTCTATTCTCCTATGTAGATTTAGTCTTCCTTTTTAGAACCAGTTTTTTTACTTACAAATTTTCAGTTTATTTTCTGAGATGTATACAGTATAATCCATTTTATGTAATTAACAAATCTGTAATCACACTGCAATATGTACTTGCAAATAAAATTTACTATCTGTTTTTTCATCAATTTATTATAAAACTTCATTTTTCATATACACATCTGCTATCTCTTTTAATGTCTCATTTTGTGATGAACATTAAATAATCATGTTATAGTGGAAAAAATTAGGACATTTACATTTAATATCTGATCACATCCCTAGATATATGGGCCATTGGCTGTATATTTGCTGAATTATTGACTTCAGAACCTATCTTTCATTGTCGTCAGGAAGACATCAAAACGAGCAATCCTTTTCATCATGATCAACTCGATCGCATATTCAGTGTAATGGGATTCCCTGCAGGTAATTTCCCCCCCCCCCAGTATATTAGTTATTTATATGTATGTAAGGCTGGGGAGTAAGCAGATATTACAATGTACATATACAGTCTTCTTATATTTTTAAGATTTGCAATCATTTTTCCTTCCCAAGATAAAGACTGGGAAGACATTAGGAAGATGCCAGAATATCCTACGCTACAAAAAGACTTTAGGAGAACAACGTAAGTGATATATATCTAGAACTAATAGTAATTAGACTTTTAATTTAACTTTTACAACATAATTATTGGGATTCTCTATTTAGGAGCCTCATTCAGATGTGCATTGCATGTTTTAGTTGTGTGTGAAACCATCACAGCAACTTTTGGCCATTTAGTTTCCTCCTCCTGTTATTTTCCTCTTCACGCTAGAGTGAAAATATGGAACAAACTATTGTTTTCCTGAATATGGGAGATTGGTTTGTGCAAACTAGAAAATTCAGGGGAAGTAGGAAACCACTTAATTATAAATGGCATCTGAAAGCTTTATATTTCCTCTTCACATGCAGGGAAGAATGAAATATGCATACTTAGAGTTTGCCAGAGCAGATCTCATAATATTAAATGGTGGCTTATTTATTTATTTAAAATATCTGTGTCCTACCTTTCTTCTGCCATAATCTTCTTTGATTTTGATTTCTGCTCCCATTTTATTTATAATTATTTGTATTGTGTTGTTTTGCTGTATTTGTTAGTCTCCTTGGAACCTTCTTTAAAGATGCACAGAAAATTCAGTGAATAAAAAATAAATGTATGTATGTTGTGACAGGCTAGTCCTCGATTAGTCCATCTCCTGGTTTGTGTTGACGGATCCCAGAATAGAATGCATTTCATCATCCATTTTTAAAACTAGTTTAAGTAAAGAGGACCAACATGCCTGTGACGTGAAGGCTACTACCTGGCTAGTATATCATAAAATGCAGTGTGTGGGCAAACCGCAGGCCAAGAACAGGGTCCTCGTGCTGTGGAGCTCCAGGGTGACGACAGGAAAAAAAAACTTTTTAGAAGGCATTTTCTGTTGCTCAAAGCTTTTGGTATTGTAATAAAACGTAGAGTGGTACCTACACACACACACAAACTAATGTATATGGTATATTTTCTCTTTATTTTTTTATAGTGTATTACTTTTTTGAAAGTTTTTTCCCCATTTCCTTTCGCAGATATGCCAATAGTAGCCTCATAAAATATATGGAAAAACACAAAGTCAAGCCTGATAGCAAAGTATTTCTTTTGGTAAGTTAGGGTTATTTTTGCATACATATTTGGGAAGGTTATGCAGACTTAACAGTTTAGCCAGTATCCTATTACTGTTGACCCTAGGACTTCCACATTATAGTGCTTTTTGAGGATTATTTTATTTCATAAGATTAACAGAAGAATCCCCTTCCTTTAAAGTAGAAGAGGAAAAACTGTAGCCCATGAGCTAGCTACATTCAGCCCACAAAAATCCAAATACTGCATCCAGGGAACACACATCCAAACACACACCAAAAACAATTTTTAATTAAAAAATAAAACACAAATGTGCTCAAAAAGGCCTCATGTGCCTCCTAAGAGACATGAGAGGCACCTTTGTCGTGTTTCTCACCCATAGCACCCTTGCTTACCCACTCACCCTCAATTATTCAGCCACCAGAGTGTATGAGGGGTCTTTTTCCATTTAAAAACTTTTAAAATGAATTGGGGGAAGGACGGCATAGGAGTGTTTGTGGCCCTGCCAACTCCAAGGGTGAGCATGAAAGGTCTTAAGACCTTATGAGGTTGTCCACCCTAGTACACAAGAGGCGACTTTATACATGGACACCACCAGATTGATTATGTTCTCTGCAGCCAAAGATGGAGAAGCTTTACACAGTCAGCAAAAACAAGACCTGGAGCTGATTGTGGCTCTGATCCTCAGCTTCTTATAGAAAAACTCAAGCTTAAACTGAAGAAAGTAGGAAAAACCACTGGGCTAGTCAGGTATAATCTAGACTAAATCCCTTATGTATATACAGTGGAAGTGAAGAACAGATTTAAGGAACTCAATCTGTTGGACAGAGTGCCTGAAGAAATATGGACGGAGGCTCATAACATTGTATAGGAGGCAGCAACAAAAACTCTGTTCAGGAAAATTGGAGATATTAAAGGAACCTTTTGTGCAAAGATGAACATAATAAAGGACAAAAATGGGAGGGACCTCACAGAAGCAGAAGACATCAAGATGAGGTGGCAAGAATACACAGAGGAATTATACCAGAAAGATTTGGATGTCCCAGACAACTCAGATAGTGTGGTTGCTGACCTTGAGCCAGGCATCCTGGAGAGTGAAGTCAAGTGGGCCTTAGAAAGCATGACTAACAACAAGGCCAGTGGAGGTGATGGCATTCCAGTTGAACTATTTAAACTCTTAAAAGATGAGGCTGTTAAGGTGCTACACTCAATATGCCAGCAAGTTTGGAAAACGCAGGATTGGCCGGAGGACTGGCAAAGATCAGTCTACATCCCAATCCCAAAGAAAGGCAGTGCCAAAGAATGCTCCAACTGCCATACAATTGCACTCATTTCACACACTAGCAAGGTCATGCTCAAAATCCTCCAAGGTAGGCTTCAGCAGTATGTGGACCGAGAACTCCCAGAAGTACAGGCTGGATTTCAAAGGGACAGAGGAACTGGAGAAAGCCAGAGAGTTCTAGAAAAACATCTACTTCTGTTTCACTGACTATGCAAAAGCCCTTGTGGATGGCAACAAATTATGGCAAGTTTTTAAAGAAATGGGAGTGCCTGACTACTTTATCTATCTCCTGAGAAATCTATATGTGGGACAGGAAGCCACCGTTAGAACTGGATATGCAACAACTGATTGGTTCAAAATTGGGAAAGGAGTATGACAAGGCTGTATATTGTCTCCCTGCTTATTTAACTTACATGCAGAATACATCATGCAAAAGGTTCTACTGGAGGATTGCTGGAAAAAATATCAACAACCTCAGGTATGCAGATGAAAGCACTCTGAAGGCAGAAAGTGAAGAGGAATTAAAGAACCTTTTAATGAGGGTGAAAGAGGAAAGTGCAAAAAAATTCTAAAGAGAAAAAAAAACTAAGTTCATGGCCACTGGCCCCATCACCTCCTGGCAAATAAAAGGGGAAGATATGGTGGCAGTGACAGAGTTTATTTTCTTGGGCTCCATGATCACTGCAGATGGTGACAGCAACCACAAAATTAAAAGACACCTGCTTCTTGGGAGGAAAGCGATGACAAACCTCGACAGCATCTTAAAAAGCAGAGACATCACCTTGTCGACAAAGATTGACATAGTCAAAGCTATGGTTTTTCCAGTAGCGATGTATGGAAGTGAGAGCTGGACCATAAAGAAGACTGACCACTGAAGAATTGATGCTTTTGAGTTGTGGTTCTGGAGGAGACTCTTGAGAGTCCCCTGGACTGCAAAGAGCACAAACCTATCAGTTCTAAAGGAAATCAACCCTGAGTGCTCACTGGAAGGACAGATCCTGAAGCTGAGGCTCCAGTACTTTAGCCATCTCATGAGAAGAGAAGACTCCCTGGAAAAGACCCTGACGTTGGGAAAGTGTGAAGGCAAGTGAGAAGGGGACGACAGAGGGCGAGATGGATGGACAGTGTCATCGAAACTACGAACATGAACTTGACCCAACTCCAGGAGGCAGTGGAAGACAGGAGGGCCCGGCGTGTTCTTGTCCATGGGGTCACAAAGAATTGGATATGACTTAACGAGTAAACAATAACACCCTAGTACTAACTTAGTGCATGGAGCCTTGCATTAGTGAATTATGAGATGTGAACTATTACAAAACATTTTTATGGGGATGCATCCTGTAGCACAGTGGTCCCCAACCTTGGGCCTCCAGATGTTCTTAGACTACAACTCCCAGAAGCCTTCACCACCACCTCTGCTGGTCAGTATTTCTGGGAGTTGAAGTCCAAGAACATCTGGAGGCCCAAAGTTGGGGACCACTGCTGTAGCAGATCTTACTGGCTCAGAATTGGTGAGGTTCACCACAAGCAACTAGCCTGACCTTATTTTGGTACTGAGTACTACACCTATCTATGTAATTATTAGTTAAATTTTCATCCTACTTTTCAGCTGGTGAGCTCAATATATTTAACCTGGATTGCTGGATCTTAGTCTTAGTGTGCTACCTCCACACCACATTGGCTTTCCAGTGAAAATTCAGGTGAATGTGCAAAAATTTAAAGTTGTAATACATTGAAACATTTACCTTTATTGGCTATTGTCTGCTCATTGTTTTTGATATTGTTAATAATTTCTCTGACACAGAGTGTCAAATTGTCAATTAGTCACAACATTCTAGATAAAATAAATAAATAAATAAATAAACTAAATAAGAACTGACATGTTATCACATCAGATAAAAAGCCTTGTGGTGCAGTGATTGAACTGCAGTAGTGCAGTAAAACCTCAGCTCACAACCTGAGTTCAATCCCAATGGGTTTGGGTAGCCAGCTCAGGGTAGACTCATCCTTCCGAGGTTGGTAAAATGAGTATGCAGTGTTGTTTGCATAACTATGTTGTAAACTGCAATCTCAATACTTGAGATTTCTACAAGTATTGGGCTGGGCCCTTTATATAAGACAATGTTGCAATATATGACAGTCACAAGGGAGACCCCTGTGTTTTATTTTTTTTCCCTCAAAAGTTCTTCCCACCAACTTCTAAAGGCAATCTAAAGGCACAGCACATGTTTTATTATACTGTGCTGTGCTATTTTCTGTAACAATAATCAGTACAACGTGTCTTTTTTGTGTAGAAAATAATTTTTCTTTGAGCTTGTTTCCCTTTAATGTTGGGCTTCATTTTGGCGTATATGCAGTGAATCCTAAAGCAATGTTAATTTAAGCTTACTTCTTCTAATACACTGTGCAGCTTCAAAAACTTCTTACTATGGATCCTACAAAAAGAATTACCTCAGAGCAAGCTTTGCAGGATGCTTACTTCCAGGAGGACCCATTGCCTACATCAGAGTATGTATTTCTTATTATTTGACATTTCTACCTTTCCTTAGCGGTACCTTTCACTCTCTGTGTCCTAAAGTGAATATGCTGGCAGATTTCCACCCTTCGCCAGAAGTTCAGCACGCCACCCGAAAACTTGCTGCATTTGTGAGAGTATCAAGGCAGTGGCTGTAGTGGGAAGAAGAACTTGCCCTTAATGGAAGCCATTCCACTCACAGAATGATGCAGCAGGATCCAGCTCTATGTAATTACTTAAATATATAGATTTTTGAAAGAGGCTAGTAGCCAGATGTCTGTCCTGCAGAATCAAAGCCACATTTTATTTCTCCCCTTATTGAAGAAGCAGTCAAACAGATATAGGCCTTATCTCTGAAGGAACTGCTTGAGGAGTGCAGGAAAAGAGATTCCCCTGTAGTTCTCAAGAAAGTTAAGGAAGATGTCAGGCCTAGTGTCAAGGATCTGGGCTCTCCAGCATCATCTCTAAATGCAAACAAGTTGTTAGCTAATCCAAACAAGGACTTGAAGCAAGGGCGGGAATCATGCAGCCAACAAGAGGCTTTGGTTTCCCACAGATCTCTCCATGTTTTTCTCAGCCCCAAATTTCCCCCTTGGGAGAAAGGAGGAAGCTTATCAAATCTTCATTGATTCAGTGGGCCTACTCTATTGCAATTTACTAGGCTAAGCAACACCATTTTGGCCACTGTGTCCAAATGAGGCTATGAACATCACAGTTATTTTAAACAAATGTAATGTTGCAAATTATGGCTCAGTGATGTAACTTAGTTTTGCTCCTCCTCTGTTCCAGTGTTTTTGCAGGCTGCCAGATTCCTTATCCAAAACGAGAATTTCTCAATGAGGATGAACCTGAGGAAAAGGGGGATAAGGTATAGTTCTGTGACAACTTTGTTTCTCAGAGAGAAAGCTGACAGAACATAGGGGCTAGCACTGAAATATTCATTCTTGGTCAAAACTACTCCAGTGTAATGTCATGGGACACTGTTGAAAAGGGTACAATTTGCATGCATGACAACTTATAAAAACCCAGAGTACTTTATATTGAATAATGTTCAGTAAATTTAGACACTGTTAACAACACGTGGCTGGAGGAAGACAGAGAAGAGGCCTTAAGCTGTAGTCATCTGTTTACTGATTATATCTGCAATTGAGAAATATCCCTCCAGCTCTTTATGTCCTATATTTTTGTAGTTATGGAGCTTGATTTGTTTTTGTTTTTTAATACTTGAGCTGCCCTTGCTACAGTTCCTTCACAGATTTATTCAGAACTGTAGGATATTGGTTTTGAAATACTATATATATATTTTAGCCCTATTTTACTTCTTAGATTATCAGTATTCTTGCCAAAGGCCCCTGAGTCGTAGAACTCCTTTCCTTCAGAGAAAAGTCAGAAATGAAATAGTATTGTTGTTAACCCAGTTGTAGGTTCCAATAGGCTGCTACTGTATTTTATGGATTGTCAATCTCTTCTATCACCTCTTGCTTTGTTTGTATATTGTTTTTCAGTGTGATTGATTTCTTATTATTACTAGTAGCTATATATTGATCCAGATATTTCTGGCATGCATGAGCCTTTAGGAAAACACATAAGAAAGGAATTTGCTACTTCAGCCATGGCCATCCAACAGTTCAGTAAATTATGCTCTAGCACTTATATGCATAGGATAGATGAGACAGAAGAGGACAAATAAATTTTGAGGAGCATTTCTTTACCTTATCTTTAGTTCTCTTTCTTTAGATGTAACATACTTTAAGCATGAAGTAAATCTTAAGTGCATAGGTAATATGTGCATGATGTAATATGGGTTCTTTATCCAAATAAAAAAGTAAAAAGAACAAGGTCAATATAATACTAAGAAAGGCAGAGGCTTAAACCTCAGAGAGGAGTATGTATTGAGTATATGAAGAAGCAGGGAGCATGTGGGTCTGCCAGGGTTTGGGAAGAAAGAGGGGGGGAGAATAGTGGACAGATGTGAAAAAGGACGTGCTCTGTGACAGAGGACTTGTTTCACATGCATTGGTAAATTCAAGGAGAATCCAAAAACACAGCTGTCTATACTGATCTATGTCAACAAACAATTCCTACTACAGTGTAGTTTACATTTCAGGGTGTATATGCATGTTAATGGAGCTGAACTGCCCAGTCAACAGAAATTTGTCCCCTTATACTCTGAATTACAGGAATAGTTCACAACAATATTCTGTTGCTGCCAGGTATAGATACTCATTTCAAGCAGGAAGCATTACATACCCAGCTGATGAACCAAGAAAGAGTTGCAAAGATATTGTATATTGATTTATATTACTGAACCCTGTTCAGAAATAAGTCTCATAGCATTCCATGAAGCTTACTTCTGACTGAGTAAATATAGGAGGGATTGCTGCTTTAAACACAAAGTGGTTTTCAAAAGAGACCTTTGCCACTTTCAAGCCAGTCAGTGGAAGTGTGCTGCCTAGTTGTGGGAATGTTCCGACCCTAGGCAAGGATTGTGTACGCTCAGCGGCTGAGACAGCAAGGCAGAGGAGAAGGAGAAGAAAGACTAGCGAAGGCACAGAGGTGAGAGTGCAGTAGTGGGAGCACTGTGTACTGCATGTTAGTGAAAGTAGGAACAGGAGCTTTTAAGGACTGGGTGTTTTGTAACTTCCTGAATCTAGAGTTAAACCTGGGTATATTAATCAAGAGGAATACTGTATCTGGTAGCTCATGGCTGTAAATAGGCTTCTGCGCTTTCCATCACCACACTCACCATGGCAGCTGTCCTGCTCATGAACAGCCAGCCTTTCAGGTTTGCACAGTACACTCTGAGGTTGAGAAGCAGAAGGATGGCGGCAATTTGGCCACTTATTTATTTTATTTTATTTTATTTTATTTTATTTAACTTATATACTGCTCACTCTACCCAAAGGTCTCTGGGCGGCTTACAACAATTAAAATACAATAAAAAAGATAAAACAATTTTAAAAAATTAAAATACTCTAAAAATTGCCATCAGGACCCACAGTTGATATTATTTCAATTAAAAGCCTTCTGGAACAGTAAGGTTTTGACCTGGCGCCGAAATGTCATCAGCATCAGCGCCAGACGAATCTCAGTCGGGAGGGCATTACATAGTCTGGGGGCAGCTGCCGAAAAGGCCCTTTTGTCTAGAAGCCATCCCTCTTACCTCCTTCAGGGACAGCTCTTTCAGAAGGGCCCCCTGGCTAGTTCTTAACTGCTGGGTAGGCTTATATGGAAGGAGGCGCTCCTTCAGGTATCCAGGGCCCAAGACATTGTGAGAACATCTGGTATACCTAGCCTCTGACTAACCAGGTTGGCACCAAATGTTTTTTGCAGAGTGGGTGATGGGAGGCTTCTTTGGTTACTTCAGATAGAAGTATCTTGAGTAGCTTCACCGGCAGGAGGCTTCCTTGGCTGCTGCCAGGTAGAGAGGCACTTGAGGTAACATTGTTCAGTAGCTGTGGCACTGGCTTTCTTTGCCACCTCCCTTTCTTGTCAGAGAGGATGCTGGAGAGAAGGTAGGCATCCTTGGAATTTTGAGGAGACATGAAGCTGGCTATCACTATGTTTGCCATGGCTAGCAAGCGCAGAGGAAAAGTGTTAGACACAGTTCATTAAGTACCCCATCAGGCCTGTATTTCTATGCCTGTATATGAATTAGAAATTGTCTTTAAGACAGTAAAAAAATGTTCTATGAAGTGAGCACAGAATATATCTTCCATTCCTCCCCCCCCCTTTAAAATTGATTTGTGTAAATACTGACATTCTATTTTTTTTAAATAGCTGAACTGTTTCAGACACGTTTCAGCTCTTGGACTTCAGCTTGAATTCCAAACTTTTGTTTTTTCTGAAACCATCCCTAATCTTTTTATGTTAATAAAAAATTATAAACTTACATTATCTTCTGTGGTTCATCTGCTACCTTTCAGTCAGCAGCATTCAGTCAGCTACTTTGCCCTTTGATCTGTGGTAGCAGCACATTCCTTTTGCCATGAAACTAATACACAGTTCCATACTGTAGTCCTGACTGATCTGTCTCATTGAATGGTGTCATTCCTAAATGTCATGTCATGTTTTGCAATAAAACTGCAAACATTGCTTTAATTGAAGCTCTTGGCAGTGGTAACACAGTTTGTCTCATTAGTGGCAGAAATCCCTTTGCTTTGTGTTGCCCCTTTTCATTTTACAATGAAACCCTTTTATTGCACTGAAAGGCGTGTAAAAAGGAATGTTTCACACCAAATCCATCTATTTAAAAATAGTCATTTTTTAAATAGATTTGGTGTCAACATTACTTTTTCCATGCCTTTCAATGCATTTAAAGCCTTTGCTTTACGTCACTATTAAAGATGCTGACCTTATGATAAGTAATGTTACTTGGCATCAAATGTTACAAAGAAGTAACCAAGGGTGAGGAGTGAGTTCATGTGTCTTGGAAGATCCTCTTACTATGCCACCCTCTCCTGTTTTCCTGCAAAAGCAGTTAATTGTCCTGTGGTTCATACTTCCCATTCCACTTCTTTATCATCTTTGCACCAGCGTCCAAAAGCAATTTTTCTCCCTTTGAAAAAACGTGGAAAGCCTGTGTCCCAGCCATGCCTCACACTCTGTGCCACAGTCCTTTTGCAGCCAGCCCAAATGTGTTTTTATTCTTGCCCTCTGTAGTAATGGCTGTCCTTAAGAACTGTAGTATTGAGCCTTGGATTTGGGCAAATATGGGCAGCAAAAACTGTGATTCAGCTATAGGAGGTCTTAAATTCCGATTGTTGATCTCTAGAGACTTAGATCTCCCAGCTTAAGCTGATCACCCAACTCCACTCCTACCTGGATGACAGATTCCCTCAGGACACTGGTGCAGGCATTGGTTATTTCTCAGATTGACTATGTGGGGATTTCCTTAAAACTGCTCCAAAGAGTCCAGCAGGTCCAGAGTGTGGCGGCCAGACTGGTGGTTGGGACAAGCAGATAATTATTGCGCCACCCCAGTTCTGCCTGCCTCCACTGGTTACACGTGAAGTCATAGATGAGGTTCAAAGTCTTGACGCTCACGTACAAAGCCCTCCATGGTTTGGGCCCACATTACGTGTCACAGCATCTTGCCCCGATGTCAACTGCCCAACCCACCAGGTCATCTAAGAAGAGGCTCCTCTGTGTAGCCACCTTGAGGCAAGGCCATAAATCTTCTATGAGAGATAAGGCCTTCTTTGCAGTGGCCCCATCTTTGTGGAATCAGCTCCAGGAGGAGATTCACCTGACCTCATCCCGGCAACATTTAAGAGGCAGCTAAAGACATGGCTCTTTACAGAGGCCTTCCATTCCAACACTAGTTGTGCCAAGATACTTTTACATCTCAGTTCAGTTATTTGCTGTCTGTATCTTTGTTTTTTGTTGTCTTTATACAGTTTTAATTGACACGCTGATACCCTCTGTTTTTACATGGTTAGATGTTTGTGGTTTTGTCATAACTTATTTAATTGTCCATTTTATGTGAACTGCCCAGAGTAGTGCTGCAGCACTAGAGGGTGCAGTATATCAAATTAAAGCAATAAATAAATAATAAATATTTATTCAGGAAAGGCAGAGATTAAACCTGGACCTCCATGAAGCTGCAGCATTTTCCCCCACAAAAAAGAAAATATTTTGAATAACTGGCTTACTTTCAACATATATTGTACCAAATATGGAATTCCATCTGTATACATGGTTTGTTTGTTTATTTATTTAAATATGGGTCCAACAATTGCAGTGGGTAAATCTCAGTTTGGAGAATTCTGGGCTGTGTGCATTCAAGCTGAGTTAGCGTGCTGAAAAAAAAATACTTAAATGATGATGGCTCATTACTGGAATGTGTTGCACTTGTCAGGTATGTTTTTGTTGAATGTGAGCTGTATTATTTCATTTTCTAAACCAGGACCATAGTTAGAAGGGTGAGGTGAGCTCTGCCCCTTTCCTCGATGCTTCATTAATTTAAGCAATGACAAATCTGACAGGAAGAGTTTCCTGTTTATATGTTGGCTCTATAGTCCAGACAATCTGGGTTCTTCCTTGCAGGTAGAGCCTTCATATGAGTAAGAACCTCTCCTCTTCAGATTCGTAGATGGTCACAGGAGGAAAGTGATGAGGGAGAGGATGGGGCTAATAACCTCCAGCTAACCCTAATGATAACCCTGGAATAGAGAATAACTGGATAGATTGTTTTTTCAGCAATAGATCATAATTAACATCACATCCTACAAAATAGAGATCTGTAAGGCACAAATTCATCACAAATGTAAATGAACACATTCAGCTAGTGCTAGAACTACACATTAACTAACAAAATTGTTTGATAGCAGTTAGACAATGGTTTAGGTCATACAAGAGGAAGCCCGTATTGTTCAATCCAGAATGAACCCTCATATGATGTTGTGATAGCCACTAACTTAAATGGCTTATAAAAAGAAGAGTACTGCATTAGAAAAAGGTTTAGGCAAATTAATGGAGGGTAAGTACTGTCCATTAAAAGGAACATTCGCATTTAGCATCATGATGTCCCTGAACCTTACATGCTAACATAGGAAGAACATCACATCTGTGCCCTGCTTTGTAGCCTTCCAGAGGTTGGCTGCTTCTGGAAGAGCAACTCTGTCTTGATGGATTTACTCTAATCAGTCAGTCATAGTTTGATACTTCTGAGTATCAAAGTATTTTTTGATACTTCTGCTGAGTTGGCACTATCGAATGGGTAAAATAAAGTGATCAGGACCCCATATTTTTGTCAGCTTAGCTTCAACCAAATGTCTCTTACTGCCAGTACTCATATTGCCACAGTGAAGATCAAAATCTGAACTAGCTTGGTATTTACTGAAAAGCAGTCACACACCTCATTTTGAAGCACAGCTCTTTATTTCGAAGTTAGTCCACAGTCTAACTTGGAAGACCTAACTTCAGTAGTAGAATTCATGCCTTATGCACAAAAGTTCTCACATTCAGCCTCTGATGTCTACTGGTAGGACAAACAATCTCCCCCTCTGAAAACCCAGACAAAGATTTCATGAAAAATGTGGACTCCTGCCTCACTTTATTAGAAAGAGAATCCCTTTTAGTTTTTGATTCATTGCAAGGAAATGTCTCTGAATCTGGGTTTGGGTTTGGATTCAGTTTATTTAGTTCAGGCCATTCTAACCCACCCCTTTCAATGTTGTAGAATCAACAACAGCAGAACCAACATCAGCAACAAACAGCACCTCAGCAGCAAACAGCACCTCAGCAGCAGCAACAGCAGCAGCAACAACAACAACAGAACAGCACCCAGACAAATGGAACTGCAGGGGGTGGTGGAGCAGGAGGTGGTGGCACTGGGGCAGGCCTCCAGCATAGCCAGGACTCCAGTCTCAACCAGGTGCCTCCAAATAAGAAACCACGCATTGGTCCTTCAGGCGCTAATTCAGGGGGGCCTGTCATGCCTTCAGATTATCAGGTACAGGATTTGCCCTGTTTATTCCTGCACCTTTTGTTTCTTTTCATAGGTCAGCAGAATGTGAGCTGGAAATAGCTACACTGACATGTTCTTCATTATGAAACATTCCCGGTGCTTCAGTTTAGATTTGGCAAACCCTACAGCACTGACTTTGAGGGCTGATTTCTAAAAAGACACACCATACTTTGGATCCTGGGAATGTTCTGAGCTTTTTAGTTTATAGGAAAGCAACCAGTACTGTTTCACTAATCAAATAGATCTGCTATGCTTTTTTTTCCAGTTAAAACTACAGCTTATATGCTTTTAATCAGACATACAGAAGGTAAGGAAGTGAAGGTCCCCCCCCATGTGTATCCATTGCTTGATTACTTTCTTTGTGCACTAGGCACAGTATAAAAGTGGTAGCAACCCCATATCCAAACTGCTAAGTTGGGTGCGTGAACTCATTCAGCTCTGTGCAAACTGAGAGTGATGAGTGATTTGGGTACATCATGCAACATGCTCATATGACCCACTTCACTGCACATAGAGGTTATGTGAATTATCTCTACTAGACAGCTTAGCCACATGACTTTATCTGGCCATAATACTTGCAAAACAGTCATATGATAGCTTAATTATATGAAATTACTAGCATGTATTAGCTCCAACATATAATGGCCTTTTCATTAGATGAATGCAATACCTTTTTAAGTCTTAGAAAAGTTATGAGTTGTCAGGGTACGTCCATTCCTTGGCACAGCAAGCTCTGTCATCATGATGTAAGACCCTGAATATCTTTATTTTCCTCCCATACATTTAACACTGCCTTCATAATAGGGAATTCTGGTTTAATACTATGTAGAAGGGATCTCTGCTGTACTATGTCAATACTGTGTAGTGGTGATTTCTGCTATCTGCCAGCAGAAATGTTCTCAATAAATTCTGTATTGGCAGAATGTATGTGGATCCATATCAAAGTTGTTTGTTTGTCTGTTTTAAGTAGTGATAAAACACATCCTAATAACATTTCCATTGGTTCTGAATCTTTTAATCATATGTACAGGGCATTTTCCCTCAAAACTGATATCTCCCAGGACATCAATTTGAAGTTTTATCACTCATTGTAAAATACCATATTTTTCCATGTATAAGACTATACTTTTGTCTAAAATCTTTAGACTAAAAATTGAAGGTTGTCTTATGCACAGAAGTAAGCTGAGGAGAGAACAAACACAAGTGGAGGGGAAAGCAGGGTTCAAAGCGATCCTGCAGTGCTTTGATCCCTGCCCCTCTACACTTGCTAAGCCCCACTTAGATTTCTTAATTTTGGGTTAGAAAAGTGGGGATGTCTTATACATGGGGGCATCTTATACTCAGGGAAAATATGGTAAATGTGTCAGTGGTTATATATTTCCTAGGAATCTGCAATAACATAAACTAATTCTGTTTTAAAATGTCTTACTAATTAGAACCTCAAAAACTGGGATGTTCATTTATCAAAGCAAAAGCAAAGTGTATAACACCCTATAGCACTTACAGCACTCTCTGTGGGTTACAACACACCTTTTTTTTGACCGCAGTATTGTAGTTTGGCCATTGTGCCATGAAGCTCCTATCAGTTAGAACTACAGATGGGCATAAAACGCCAATTTGATGGTTCATGCTGGTTTGTATACCACAGCAACAAGTGTTCAGCAGTTTGGCACACTGCCTTGCCAGCAGGCACCCACTCAGAGGCAGCGCCCATTAGGAGGTGGAGCAGGGAAACCTGGAAGCTGCCTCTGAGTGGGTGCCCACCACTGAATCCTTGTTGCAGCTGTAAACAAACCAGCACAAACTGCCAAACCAGCAGTTCATCCCCATATCTAGTTAGTACCATGAAATCACTTCCTGAATAAACCAAGTTCCTGTCATGCTTCCAACTTAATTTACCTCTAATAGCAGTAAACCCTGGGGGGGGGGATTGGAGGAGGAGAAGAGTACAGGAGACAGAAGGAATAGTTGGTACCCTGATCTAATTTCTCTGTTCAGGTATATTTGTCAAAGAGTAAAGATAGTGTAAACATTCTGGGGGGAAATCCTTCTAAAACAATTTGCTACCCACTAAAACATGTACATTTTGTATGTTTTGTTTTTGTTTTTAGCACTCCAGTTCCCGCCTGAGTTACCAAAGCAACATTCAGGGATCTTCTCAGTCCCAGAGTACAATGGGCTATTCTACGTCATCTCAGCAAAGTTCTCAGTACCATCAGTCCCACCAGTCTCACCGGTACTGAAGGGACCACATAAGTGGGTGTTGTAAAAGAATGAACGAACAGCCAGCGGACTCCAGCAATATGAAGTTCCATGAGAAGAACCAAAAATGCAAACTGTGATGCAGATTTTTGAAATTACAGTTATAAAAGGAAAACTTGGATTTACTAAGTGTTTTTAGACAATAAACAGTTCTTATCTTTTTTTTTCTCTCCCCCCCCCCTTTTTGGCCACAAAAGAGATTCTTGTGAAGTTTCCCCTCAGCTTGATTTTGCATGTTTTCCATTGTGGTTACTCGAAAGAAAACATCTGATCTGAACCCAGCACTTAAACTTCTTTACTACGGAATTTTTGAAAGATTCCTGGTGCACCTTTTTTGTGTTGTAGTAATTGCCATAAATTTTACCTTTTTCCAAATCCCTTTACCAGGATTTTAAAGTTTTAGAATCTTGAATTCCCAGGCTTTTCAAGCTTGTATATAGTTAATTTTTTTACTAGGCAAACCCGTTTAGCTATACAGGTATGATGCACCTTTTAAAAGCACTATGTTATTTTCACAGGATATTACTGTTTTGCTCACAGATGTCAAGAACAGCAGATTTTACTGTTCCAGAGTATTTTAATATTCTCTTTTTATTAGTCTAGTTTTGAGATGAGGTCTTTAAAAAAGAAGAAGAAAAGAAAAATATACTACCCAAGTCTCTGTAGCAGCTATTACATGTTTCTTTGGACTGAAAACCAAACAGAAGATGATGAATGTTTGTTTTCAGATGAGAATCCCACAGATCATTTATCATTATCTTCCAAGTGGCTTAAGCTTTGCTTTACATATAGGCACGAAAGCAGAGGGGCAGGCAAATACTTACGTGGGTCCAGTAGATCAAGACTTTGCTATACGGTCTATTCTGGTGGCCATCTGTACATGCAGTGCATCTCTGCTCGTAATCTGTGTTTTGCGACTCTGTTTCAGAAATTCAGGATCAATGGAAGAAAGGGCAAAGAAGGAGACTGCTACTGCTTTCAGGGGTTTGGGGTACAAGGTGTGCTGTTTAATATATATGTAGTCCACTTTTTATATTGGTTGGTTGGTTTCTGATGTAGCCTTCCATTGTTAAATTTTGGTTCTGAAACTTGCAGCAAAACAAAAACAAAAATGCTGCAGCACCTTAAGAAGCTAAGAGTTTTGTTGCGGCATGAGCTGCTGCCTACTTACAGAACACTTGCAATCATGAACCTTGACAAGCCATTACTATTATTATTGTTGTTATTATTAATATTATATTACTTTATTAATATGTTGTTTTTCTTATACCTTCATGATCCAGTTGAACCAGATCAAATATTGGAAAGAGAAACTGTTAAACGTGTTGGAAATCATGGCGCCAAACTGCTCTGCAGGCAGAGCGCTCCATGGTTGCTCCAACAATCCCCAGATTACAATTACACAAACTGGAATTCACCCCATTAAATAGAATGGGCCTTAGGTGTGCACATGGGGATAATGGATGTCCCTTTGCACAACATGTATACAAACACACCTGCACCTGCAGCAAACAGCATTTTGGCCAGTGCCCTGAAGATGTTTAGCATTCTCATGCCCCAGAAGTGTTTTATGTAGTCTTACCGTTGCTGTGATTAATTCAGATGGGCTGCACTAGGTCAAATATTGCTGTCCTGCAGTATCTCTTCCTTCAGGTCACCCATGCAGCAGTTGTACTGAAGTTGTACTAAAGAAATGAGGATGAACTGGATAGCCATCAAACAGGGGAAATATCAGTGTTCATTAACATTATCTGTGATCAGAGGCAACAATACTTTGAGGCAGCTCCTTTTTTCAAAGAGGCCTTGAACTACAGCTTGCATGCTTTATTCCACGCTGTAGCATCCAGTTTAGCATACAATTCAGCAAATTAAGAATCTTGAGATTTTCTTTTGGTTTGTTTATTTAAAGCAGTTTTCTCGCCTTTTGCAAATAGGCTTAAAAGTTTGCAAGCAGTTTTTATTGAAACATAGAATATGGAGGAATAGAGCTGAATAGAATTTCCAGAGGCTAAAGCTTCAATTCTGAGTAATTCCTTCCCTTTCTGAAAAGCAAAATAAATTACTGAACATATGTACTAATTTACATTATTAATGTAGACTACAACATTCAGTTTTTTGTATGGAATTTGGGTTATCATGATGCAGACGTTTTTAAGCACACACAGCCCTAACCGTATTGCACTAAAATTGAAAAAGCATATACTTTAAATATATAAGCAGCACTCAATATTTTAAGAACATTTGCTTTTTTTAAAAAAAAAGTGGTACAGGAAGGAGCCAGTTGTTTATATTTGCATTAATGGGCCTTTACATTATATAGCATGAGTTCACACCTTATGGTGTTCTGTTTTGATTGATATAAGACTCAAAGAAGTCATCAAACACTTTGCACTAAGATTGCAATGGGAACTAACAAGGTGGGCAAACTTTCTTTAATACCCAAAGTAATAAAAGATACTTTATCCAAGATTATGTGGGCTCCTAATTAAAAGACCACCCAAACTGTTGGTTACAGGCATTGTTCCATTTGCTGTTGCTATCAAATAGCTTTCTGGAGAGCCAAAAATTAATTAACATAGAACACACAGAAAAATAACAAAAAGTATTGCAATCCAGGCAATATTTATTCTTTCTGATATTTTATGTATCATATGTCTGAGCTAGATTTGTTGGATGGAACTAATCTTTCTTTCGTACTAACATTCAGTGAAAATGCTTCCTCAGTCCAACGTGGTCTTCTCGCCCCAAGCTTATGTTTGGTGAGTAGCACTTAAGGCTTACGAACTGCCCATTTTTCTCCTCTCCCTCTCTTGCTCTGTCCCTCACCGACCATTCGCTACAGTTCCTATGCACCTGTGGCAAGCTCAGTCCAAGTATATTCCTCTGTGCATGCAGTTTGACAACCTGTGTTGAATGTGCTTTATCTCCATGAGCTTCCAGTCCCCTAGAATGAGGGCCATGGTTGTTTTCTGTACCAATAAGTTGATATTTGCTGGCTAGGCTAATTGCTAATTATATTCCATTTCCCTGCTGAGCCTGTGCACACAAATGCAGCTGTGCTAAATACTTCATGGCCTTCTGAGCATTGACAGGGGAATAGATGAAAGTATAGGTTTACACTTTTTGAAATGTTTACTGCACTCATTCTCTATTTGTAACTTGGCATTTGGGCATATTTGGCCTATTATTGTGAACTGTTTGTGTATAATAAGATGAGTGTCTCATGTATTGCAGGGCTAAGGTGAGCCAAGATGAGGTTTCTTTGTGTCAGGGGAAATGTCATGAATCAAAAATGTCATGTAAGATAAATCATATGTTATATGTTATGGAAACACAAGACACAGACATTTTTATAAGTGTGCAGCTCAAGTTAACGAAGTCTTAGTAGTATATGCAGCTTCTACGTAATCTATAGATTCTTTTTCTCACACACACATTGGCCCTTAGAAGTGGATATTGAGTAAGTAGTTAACTATGATCTTTGCTACTTTGGGAAACAGTAGCTGACCACACCTCATTTTGTGATATTTCTCTTTTAGTTTTCAAAAAGGAACAAAGAAATAGGATTAGTAAAATAGTGATGAAATTAATTGTAGCGCAGACTGCATAATGAAGGAAGACTCTCGTAAAAGCTGCACGTCCTGCACTGTATTGGTGACACTGTATCTTTTGGGGTGGGAGTGGGGTGGGAGGACACCCCCTGAAGTTGGGGAGGTGGGAGCGTGAAGTATTTGATTATGTATCATATTTTATATAAACATAATAAGCTTAGTTCCCCTTCATAATCTTCAGTGATGGTACTTAAGCAACATTAAGCAAAGATAACTGTTTTAAGATAAAATAAACATGTTGTACATATGGCCATGTATAATCTATACATTTTGCCACACCAGAACGATGTGTATTGCTTTATGGGGAAAAGTCCTTAATGCACTGTTGTCTCCTAAATATTTAGTAGTAAATTAATACTATTTAATTTTTTTAAAAAAAATCTGTCTTGTGCAGACACTAAAAAGTATTACACAATGTGGACTGAACATGTCCCTTTTTTAACAGCAGTTTAAATAATGTTTTCTATCTGTAATGTAGTGTACTTTTCAAATTGTTTTATGTTGTATTTCATAATTTTAACTATTTGTGGACGTGTGCCTGCTTTGTTTTCTTTTATATGTAATTTCACATATTCATCTTTTTTTTTTGTAGTCTTTTTATTATGCAGTTAGTTTTGTGTCTTCTTTTATGCCACTTCAGCTCATTGGTTATCGCCTCTGTGTAGCAGTGTGCTCTCTAGTAGCTGCTGAGGTCTGCAAATAAAAACAAAGCCCTTCCAAATCCAGATTTATGTTCTCACTTGTTGGGATTTCGTGGGATATTTTACTCTCACTCAATGTGTGTGTGGGGGATTTTTTGCCTTGTGTATGTTGGATTATTTTCAGATTCCAATAAGAATTCCAATATATTGTGGGGTATTAAAATCTCACATGACCAAATTAGTGTTTGTTGCAGATTCAAGTGGGATCTACCCCATATCCAGAATGAGAAAAGGGTGGGGTAAAGTAAAATAAAATTTTCTGATATTGTCAGCTACCTCCTCACCCTGATTATTTTTAGTGTCCAGACGCTCATGGAATAATAATTTATTCCCCTTAAATGCGGCCAACATACTGACAATCAGAGCATGTCATATCTGTTTTGTTGTGCATTGGTTTGCCAAAAAAAAGGCACAGAATATTTATTTTATTTTTAGTTTCCTTGCTTTTTTTCCTGTGCAGAGAAAAAACCCTAGCAGTGGCAAATGAGTTACATTAAAGAAGTGGTTGGCTCCTGGAAAATGACAAGGCTGTAGAATATTTACATTCTAGATTTGCTTCTGTGGATTCTTCAACAAAATGTGACTTTGGGAAAGTAACATGACCCACACTAGTGTGTGAAGGTTGAACTGAGTCAACAATGTACTATGTGGATCAATGACTTGCATTTTTAAAATGCACCTAAAGCCCCAATGAAGAAACTCATATGCTGGTTCCTGAACCTAAATATAATATTGGGAGGTCAACAGATTCTTTGCTGTTACCAAGCTCTAATCTTGGCGAGCCATCTTACTGAAGTGAAAGTTAAAATCTGACAGTTATTTAGCAATATGATAATTGCCCAATATGCTTCCCAACACTGAACAAGCTTAAGTAGTACAAATACCCTGTTTCCCCGAAAATAAGACAGGGTCTTATATCAATTTTTGCTCCAAAATATGCATTAGGGCTTATTTTCAGGGGATGTCTTTTTTTTTTCATGTACAGCAATCTACATTGATTCAAATACAGTACTGTCATCATCTTCTGGTTGCTGCACAATGGTGGAGGGCAGGGCTTCACTTAACGGGGGCTTATTTTGGGGGTAGGGCTTATATTATGAGCATTCTGAAAAATCATAATAGGGCTTATTTTCAGGTTAGGGCTTATTTTCAGGGAAACAGGGTATCAGATGAGTTGAAGGTATGGGGGGGTGTCAGCTCTTAATAGCCTCTACTTCTGCTCTGTAGAGAAGAAACACTGAGGCTCAGTAAAAGATTGAAAATGTCCATCCACTCTGGTAAGCAATTTCAGTAAGCTTTGCCCTCATAAAGCATTTATTGTTTTTAGTATGTCATTATGTTGCTTTTGAAAGACTGTTAAAACTATTCTTTTGTTCATTGGATCTCTTTTTTTATTTTTTGTTGTAATTAAATTGTTTCAGTGTGAATTTTTAAAATAAAAGTAATATACGTTTGTAATAATAATAAAACGTTGAAGTCGAGCTGTGTGACGGGCAATCTGTACACTTTGAACTGTAATTAAAATAGAATGGTTTTCTCAGATTTAAAGTATAGGTGGTCCTGTTATTTAAGGCCCTTCTAATACCTTTATAAGATGCCTCCCATGGTTTGTGGGTGGTGTTTCCTTTTGCTTTTGCTTTAGATAAGGTCACTCCTAGACCCCTGAAGCTAGCAGAATGCAATGCTACATCAACAACAATATATTTGCAGCAGCAACTCTGCCAAATATGAGTGAAAAGCCAAGTAGAGCATCTCCAGCCAGGATCCTGTATTCACTACATCAGACAATTCTCAGGCAGTGACATACATCAAAGCCACATTCAGGTGAGCACTTCAGCTCCAGCTTCCTCATCATTTCTATCATCCATTTATACAGTATGTGGAGGAACACAAGTCTAATAGGCAGGCCCTCCACTGTCTACAAGGACACTTCACGTGAATCGGAACTCTTGGCTGCCCACTGTTACAGAGACTGTGTCAGTCAGATATATCGCTTCAAAGCATTAGATGGCAATGAACACGGAAGCTGGAGCACTTCCTCTTCTGGTGTGGTATACATGCAAAATAGTAAAGCCAGAATATTATGGTCTGTTACACATCAATTAAGTTTTTAATATTTTTCTCCTCTTTGTCTCCCCTGATTGGATCCTTTCGAGGAGAAAGGGGAGGGGTAAAAATATTTTAAATAAATAAAATAATAAATAAAACAGCAAAAGTTAGGAAAACAGACAAATCTGCAGCGTACTTCTTTTCATCCTTGAATACTTGCAACTGGTTGAGATCTTGGAACAATAGTCTGCCATGGTTTTCTTTCCAGATCAGGCTAATTCAACACTTCTGCTATTACTTCCCAAGTAATTTTTGAGTGGCATATTGCTTCTTTTGGGGCTTAATTCCTGTCTGAATAACTTAACTTCTTGCCCTGTAAATGTGGACAATTCTGAACCTATTTCCTTCAGCTAAAATTTACACCCCTTATTAAGATACAACCTTGACAACAAAATCTCCCTCTCAGGTTACATAAATGGCAAAGAACTCATTTATGGTTTTTAAAAATAATTATTTCAGATATGGTGGGGTATTTTAGAATCCTTAGGACTCTAAAGACTCAAACATTAACAGGGAAGCAGAACTCTAGTGCTGTAAGCTGGGGTGTAAAGACAGGAGTCCTTACAATACACATCAGCAGAGCAGAAAGATAACCATGGAAGAAGATAAGCATGTGATCAGAATAAAACTCCCAGAGCTTATCTATTCCCTTCTTAAGTGCTCCACAAAGGGGGGGGGGGGAGAGAGAGAATGACACACACAGTCTCTCAAGCACCCAGTGTTAATTAATGCCCCTATTCACTTAGAAGCTTTCACTATTT